TCAGATTTTCACTACACAATACCTCATTCTAATCTCGGCCTCACCAAGGAACATTATTAATTACAGTTCATGTAAAGCAAGTGAATCCATGCCTACAATGCAATCCTCGAAAATATCAAATTCCTAGAAAGTGACTGCTCTTACCCCATTTGGGAAATAGGAACAGTGCCAAAATGGCTCCTACCGAAATTCTCTAAACTTAGCAAATTAATCCCCTAGCACCTTAGACACCAAGAAATTGTCAAAATTATTCACGGGTGAGAAAAATAGGCCATTTGGATATGGAGCTCAATTTTCGGGTAAAGAACAGACAGGTCAGGCTCAACATGGCTTACCCTAAAGGGCTTATTCAGGTGGAATGAAAAATCATGAATTAAATGTGGGTAACTAATGTCTTCATCCTCTCAACAACTAGATTAACTGTACAAGTAATTTATGCCTAACAACTTCAAAGACATCCTATTAGCAAAGTCTAGACTCTAGCCAGCTCACAAATACATAGTTTAAAACTAACACATGTGCATGCTATAAAACTAACACATGTGACATGCTATAAAACTAACACATCTTGTTTAAAACTAACACATGTGACATGACTTCCCTACAACTATAAAACTAACACATGTGCATGCTAACACAATTAATCTCACGTACTAACTAATGCCCTTAAGCCAATTCACTCCATCACACTTAAGCTTTGGCATCGCTCTTGATGACCAAAAATGCACTATGCACAGGGGGTAAAGAGGAAAAGGTCACGTGTGTTTACTAGCTCAAGCCAACAGAAAATAACGAACAAGGAAAGTAGAAACTCCCCTAGGTCTTTGGTCGTTCCAGGACTCTATCGAACCCGCAAAATCCATCAGCAAATCATCAAACACGCAATAGATCAAGCTGCAAAAACAAACACAAAGCAAAACATCCAAACATACAACAACAACAACAACATCCAATCCTTAATCCCAAAAGATATTGGGGTCGGCTAACATGAATCGATACATGATATCACCACCAAAAGGAAAAGAAAGAAAATAAAGATAAAAAGATAAGCTATTATGAAAAAGATAATATAAAAAGAGATAAATATACCTAAAAATGATAAAATAAAAAGGGATAAAAATAATGTTTTTATTATAAGGAAAAAAGGATTAAAAAAACAAGAAAAAAATGAGGGGAAAAGATAATACGAGATCACTCCTCTACACAAATACTCGCCCTCCACTTTGCTCTCTCCAAACTCATACCCTCATCTAACCCAAGAATGTAATGGTGCACTAATTTTCAAAGCTTCTAACGTTTGCTCCACAAATGCCATTAAGTGGCGCAAAGCTCTAAATTCTTGAGTCCATGTAGGCAGCATATGGTCTTCATAAACCTCATCAGCACAAAAGTGAAGGATGAACCTCACATCCTCTTTGAGTGGACAGAAAACATGAGTCAAAACTTTGATTACTCTAGGCATCACCGGCAGCTCAAAGAATGTTTCAAAGCAAAGATCTAGAGCAACACCACACTCGAACTGCACCATAAAAAATTCTTTTTCTTCCTGATAAATATCACGAAAATTCAAAACACCTCCTCTGGACTATGTATCACTCTCCATGTGAGCATCCCAAATCTCATTAACAATGTTCTTATCAATGTCTTTTTGGATGATGTTGCCATTATTTATAAAAGAAGGAGTATCTTCCTTAAGCGTTGAATCAAACAAATTCAGATCTGGGACAATGCATGAGTGAACATCAGAGTATGTACATGACGGTTCTTCTTTCACGGGGTGAGACACATCTTTATTGTGATCAACTTCCTCTAGGTGCTTCCCGGCCATATGTATGCGTGATAACCTCGACTTGTTCACTCAGATTGTTTTTAGTGTCGCTAGGATGGGATCTCTCGGACTGCTCAGATTGGGCTTATGTTGGCTGACTCGCCAGGTTACTTACATTCTGCATTCTGGGCCTTCTGGCTGAAGTTGTCTGCATGAACTGTATGAGCATCTCTTCCAAGTAAGATAACCTTTTTGAAGTTGTGTAATACTTGAAATTAATTTAAATGGATTAATAGTACTATCATACCAACAGAGGTGCATCTCCTTTTAAGGGAGCTCATCAGCTAAGAACTTCAAAGTTAAGCGTGCTTGCACGGAAGTAGTCTTGGGATGGGTGACCGCCTTGGAAGTTTCTCAGGATGTGCATGAGTGAGGACAAAGTGCACAGTAAAGGCTCGTGGTGGTTTGTGAGGACAGTACTAGAGGTCTGGAGTAACTACCTCGGGTCCTGCGGGGCCGGGGTGTTACAAGTTGTCTCCTCCAATTGATTCTGTGGCTCATCACTCGGCAAGGATGTTGGAATGACTGGAATATTTGTGCTCCTAAAGTGCGGAGGGGATGAAATGGGGTATGCAGTTGCCCGGTAGCATGGTCCTATGGAGGTTTAACGGGGCAGAGACATAAATGGTGACATCCGCCACAGAAGGAACAAATGTTATTCTTAGGAAAGTAATGAGATAATTCCTCAGGAGTTTTAGTTTGGAGAAGATATTCAAGAATAAAGCCTGGTCTTGCTCTAAAACAAGGATATTGTGATGAAGGATAATAATGAGAAGAATCAGATTGGAAGTGTTGCGTAATTGGAGGGTAATAAATAAATCTAAGAATAGGAAGACTGAATATTTTGTGGTGTATGGGAGTAATCTTGATGATGAAATAATATTGATGAGGAATGTAAGGAGGATAGGGCCTATATGATGAATATTCCGTGGAGGGTTGAGGTTAAAATGTTCCTCCAGGAATTGAGCTGAATTGGTCCATCTCATTCCTCTTAGAAAAATGCCTGAAAGGTTAGCAAAGAAAAATCCTATTAAAAACCTAAAAGAAAACTAAAAAAAGAAAATCTCGCTGAAATTAATTAACCCTTACAACCGACACCGTTCCGGGCAACGGCGCCAAAAATTGATGTGAGTTTTCTCGCACTAAAAATATGTAGCAGTATAGGGTATAAGTATGAGTATCGTCTCCACAGGGACGGAAAAGGGGAATTAAGAATTAAATAAATTCAACGAATGAAAAAAATGCAATTGTGCGAGATTGAGTGGTTTGGAAAATTAAAATCCTAGCACACGATTAAAAAGCTAGGTTCTTTCTAATTAAATACGAAGGGAACAAGGATTGACTCCACGGTAATAAGATTTCTTGTTGATCAGGCTTAATCACATGAAAACTATTTAATTGAACAACGGTGATCAATACTAAGTTCTAACCGCCATCGCGGTGTAGAGTACAATAGTTTAGGGAACCCGGCTGACCTCTCATGTGACAGATATCTAAAGTTATTGCCAAAACGAGCGAGTGTATGTTCCCTTAACTGTTACTAATCTCTTAGCGAACGATTAAGTGTGTGTGAAGGAGTTCTGGAATAAATTAGATCTCTATTAATTTATTCTACACACAATTATAATCCTAGCGGTCGTTCCAGGTCATAAAAGATATCAATTAAATTATTCAAACACAAATTAAATAACATTCATGTAATTAATCCATCATGAATTTAGTCATATATCATGACCAACCTCTTCATCAATCTCAAATCCCTAATTAAAACTACTCACAATTCATAATTCAATAATCAACAAAAGTGGGAAGAAAAGAATTAATTGTCATTAATTAAAAAGTAGGAACTTACAAATAATCACATGGTCTTGAAGAACAATGCGGAAAAATACGTAAAATTTCGTCCCTAGGCACCTCTCTAAACTCCGTCTTGAAAATGGGGGTTTACAAGCTGTTTAAATAGAAAAAATGGAGCAATTCTGGCCGAAAGAGGACACCAGGAGCGCACACACGGCACCTACCTACGGGAGGCTGTCCATATATTTTGTTGCTAGGCTAGTAAATATGCATCGTACTATATATGATACATATATATAGTATGAGGAGGAAAGGGTATTTTAAATTTGGGGGTTTTCCTTAATAAAAGGGTTATGGACAAAAATGCGTTTAGTAGCTGTTAGTGACTATAATTGTGTTCAAAGTTGACATCATAATAACATACATTTAGTCACTACGATGAAAATTTTGAATACAATTGTAGTCACTAATAATTACCAAGTACGCAATATTTTATTGGTATGTAAATCAACTACATAAACACACCTATATTGGTATGCGAGCCACCCCTCATGTCTCATTGTTAGTGGGACAAAGAGAGTATTTCCTTAAAATGCGTACAATACAAAGCAAGATAATTAAACAGGTATGGAGGGAGTAAATATATTACACGTTATTACGGGCTTTTGATTAATATTTTTTTATACTATGTAAATTATACTCCCCCATCTCGCAATGAAGTTCACAGTTTGACTTCACACTAATTAAGAAAATAAATTTGACTTTACTGTGGAGTGCATTGTTTTGCACTGTTTGACATTGTTTGGACACTGTTTGGCACTGTTTTGATGTAGATAATTTGCCAAATAAAGTTTTGAAGTGTGAAGTTAATTTCGGGACTGCCCAAAAAGGAAAGTGAGAAGTTGTTTACGAGACGAGTATAATCATACACTACCTCCATCCCATATTCCCATTTTATGTACTACCTCCGTCCCTAATAAAACTTCCAAATAAATTGGGCACACAGTTTAAGATAGCGTGTATTGTGTGGTAGAGAATTGTGCAGAGGAGAGGAAAATGTGTCAGAAATGTTGTGAACCACAAATTCTTTACCAAAAAGGGAAAATAGAAGTTTTAATTGGGCCGGACGAAAAAGGAAAGTTGGAAGTTTCTTTAGGGACGGAGGGAGTATCTTGTTGTGGTTAAGATTTGAATACAAAAAAATGGAATGTTGTAGCCCATTGTTTCTTTGCAAAAAAAAAATATGCCATTTATTTTTAGACAATTCAAAAAAGAAAATAAGACAAGTAAAATACAAATAATTATATATGGTTTTATATATGATCAGTTTTACTCCATATTATATATTTTAAGAAACAAAAATGGAAAAAAATGACCTGGATCCGTACCGGGAGCTGAAACGACCGGTGAAGCCATTCAGTTGGCACTGCCAGCACAATGTGTCACACAGTGAATATCAAGTCTTCAATTTGCAATAAGTAAGAACTTTTTTTAGTTTAGAGAGACAAAGGAACTTTTCCCAAAGGAATGGAGACCTAGTACTAGATTATAAGATCTTGATGCAAGATCTTTGACAAATACAAGCTAACAAACAAATACGTCATATCCTATGTACTTTCTCAACATTCCACCAAATATTCTGACAGTTTTCAGGTAGGTAAATTCCTAAGCAGACAAAGTGCACGCATCCATTGAGGCCGCTGTGATAGCACAATCCTCCTTAAAACTGGAACTGCTCCAGCTGCAACAATGGCTGCGTGGTTTTCGGCGTCCATGCTTAGATTATACAGTACAGCTATCCCTGCTTCCACAGCCTTCTCAGTCCCACTCTCAATGATGCTCACCAAGGGGAATATCCCTCCTGCGGCAGAGAGAGCTTGAGTGGAACCCACCACTCCTTTGGATATAATCTTGTTTAGCTCCACAACAGCAGCCTCAGGAGAAAATGAGGTTTGCATCTGTTCTACCAGTCTTGGGATAGTCTCATAAAGAGTTACCTCCATGTCGATTGGGTTCTCAGAGCTTGAAGAAGAATAGGGGCCGGGTCTGGATAGAGAGGTGAGTTTGACGAGGCAAGCAGCGACCCACTCTTTGTGATGAAGAGGAACATTGTTTGACTTGAGGACTCTTCGAAGCAATTCAGTGAAGTGGGATGCATCTATTACGCGCCTGAAATGCTCAAATTCCAGCAATCTGGTGAGTAGACGGGATGCTGCGGATATGGCCCAACCAGCTTCTTCAATTTCCAGAGCATGCAGTTTGGGCCTCCATCCATCAAAATCTGACCGCGTCGCTGTGTGTAGTGCAGTTCAGTGAGCAGAACCCCAAGAGGAAAAACTTATGTGTTTTTATTCCGTACAAATACTAACTTTTGTTTTCCATACATGTCTATGGGTGGACCCGGGTTGATCCGGTCCTGGTTCTAGGCTCAGACTGCCCCGGTCCTAAAAATTATCTGAAGAGGAGCGGGCCCGAACCACTATATTCCGGGTCTAGTCTGGTTCAGGGTACCCGGGCAGTCCAGTCCCGGACCCATTATATTTATGTAACCCATTTCAAGCTATAAAAAAAAATGGCTGGTCTAGGACCGGAAACACCCGGTTCATTCCTAAATATTGGAACCCAGGACCGGGATCGCCTGGTAGCCGGTCGGATACCCGGTCCTGCATCTGGACCGGTTTACCAGACCCGGTCTGGTCCCGCACAGTAGCAGGACCGTTTCCAAGACCGCCGACCGGGTCCACCCCTACCTCTGTCCCAATATTAACTCATCTTCTGACTTTTCCCATAGACTAAGAAAGTGAAAATTGTGTGGTTGAGAGTTATTTGAGGAGAAAATAGCATCACGCACCACCAAATCTTTGTCATAAAAGGAATAGATGTTTATTTTGAGACGAACGGAAAGGAAAATAATGAAGACATTTTGGAACACAGCACTTTTTTCTCATTCCAGCAGTTTATATTGTTTTATTTTAGTCCTCAGTTCTTTATCAATCTCCACTTTGAAAGAATAATAATATGCTTAGTAGCACAACTCTAATCTAAATTTTATATAAATTACAAATATTTGGAGACTATTAGTGGATTTAATGCTAAACAAAACTAATCTTTCACATCCTCAATATAGATTTGGCTCTGGAAAAAATAGGTGTTTTAAAAAAAATGAAAAAGCAAGAGTGATATCGTGTTAGTCATGTCAGTTTTGTTGTTAAATTGAAATTTCTAGAGACACAGAGAAGGACTAAAAACAACAACATTCAAACGTTAATCCCAAAAGATTTTGGCGTCGGGTAACATGAGTCAATCCATGACATCAGAGCGATAAAGATAACAAAAATAAAAAGATAAGGTAAGATAAAATGAATAAGAAAAAATGGATAAGATAAAAATAAATATAAGATAAAAAATAACATAAGAAAGATAAAAGATAAAAAGATAAAGCAACATAAGAAGGATAAAAGATAGAAATAACATAAGAACATAGAAAATAAAGAAAATAAAAGATAAAAGAAAAAGAGAGAGAAAAGAGAGAAAATAGATCAATTGTTCACACGAAAAACAAAAACAAACAAAAAATAGTTTTACCAAGTTCTAAAACAAAAAACCTTACATTTGCAGGAACTAATACATATTTAAGCCTATAACACTCTAAAAGTTAAACAGACAATTTGCATTTTGCCTAAATACTGAATGCTGAGCAACAGAACTTTTTCAGCTATAAGTTTTAATTCTCCTTTTTCAGCCAAGATGCTACACGCAATTACTTACCCTTACCTGTTAAATTTGTATAGAACTTGGATATTTGACACCATCATAGATGATTACAACCAAATATTCTGACAGTTTTCAGGTAGGTAAATTTCTAAGCAGACGAAGTGCACGCATCCATTGAGGCCGCTGTGATAGCACAATCCTCCTTAAAACTGGAACTGCTCCAGCTGCAACAATGGCTGCGTGGTTTTCGGCGTCCATGCTTAGATTATACAATACAGCTAGCCCTGCTTCCACAGCTTTCTCAGTCCCACTCTCAATGATGCTCACCAAGGGGAATATCCCTCCTGCGGCAGAGAGAGCTTGAGTGGAACCCACCACTCCTTTGGATATAATCTTGTTTAGCTCCACAACAGCAGCCTCAGGAGAAAATGAGGTTTGCATCTGTTCTACCAGTCTTGGGATAGTCTCATAAACAGTTACCTCCATGTCGATTGGGTTCTCAGAGCTTGAAGAAGAATAGGGGCTGGGTCTGGATAGAGAGGTGAGTTTGACAAGGCAAGCAGCGACCCACTCTTTGTGATGAAGAGGAACATTGTTTGACTTGAGAACTCTTCGAAGCAATTCAGTGAAGTGGGATGCATCTATTACGCGCCTGAAATGCTCAAATTCCAGCAATCTGGTGAGTAGACGGGATGCTGCAGATATGGCACAACCAGCTTCTTCAATTTCCAGAGCATGCAGTTCGGGCCTCCATCCATCAAAATCTGACCGCGTCTCTGTGTGTAGTGGAGTCCAGTGAGCAAAGCAGAACCCGAAGAGGAAAAACTTATGTGTTTTTTCTCCGTACAAATACTAACTTTTGTTTTCCATCCATGTCTATGGGTGGACCCGGGTTGATCCGGTCCTGGTTCTAGGCTCAGACTGCCCCGGTCCTAAAAATTATCTGAAGAGGAGCAGGCCCGAACCACTATATTCCGGGTCTAGTCTGGTTCAGGGTACCCGGGCAGTCCAGTCCCGGACCCATTATATTTATGTAACCCATTTCAAGCTATAAAAAAAAATGGCTGGTCTAGGACCGGAAACACCCGGTTCATTCCTAAATATTGGAACCCAGGACCGGGATCGCCTGGTAGCCGGTCGGATACCCGGTCCTGCATCTGGACCGGTTTACCAGACCCGGTCTGGTCCCGCACAGTAGCAGGACCGTTTCCAAGACCGCCGACCGGGTCCACCCCTACCTCTGTCCCAATATTAACTCATCTTCTGACTTTTCCCATAGACTAAGAAAGTGAAAATTGTGTGGTTGAGAGTTATTTGAGGAGAAAATAGCATCACGCACCACCAAATCTTTGTCATAAAAGGAATAGATGCTTATTTTGAGACGAACGGAAAGGAAAATAATGAAGACATTTTGGAACACAGCACTTTTTTCTCATTCCAGCAGTTTATATTGTTTTATTTTAGTCCTCAGTTCTTTATCAATCTCCACTTAGAAAGAAGAGTTTTTTCCCGGAATAATGCTAAATAAATAAATAATTCCCAAAATATTGCTGGGTTAAAAATAATTCCCAAAATACTGCTGGATTAACCGTGGTTAAGGAAAGCCGCCACTTGAAGTGGCGGGTTTTCACTTACAGTACAAGAGCCGCCACTTGAAGTGGCGGCTTTCTAACTAAAAAACGCAACACCGAGAAGTAAGGCCAAAGGCATGTAACCAATATATGGTAGTGGGTCCCACTACCATTAAATATATCCTGTTTTCTTTGAAGTGCTATAACTCTTTTATTTGTACTTTGAATGTTACATAACATATACCGAAATTCATAACTTTTTATTATCTTTCATATGACACCAATATTGAATATATAAAATCAAAAAAAAAAATTAACGCTTTAAAAATTACTGCGTATCTGTTTTTAAAATGCATATATTTTTTATTTCTATTCCGAATATTACAAAAAATACATCAATTTTTTTTATTTTTTATTATGTTTTATAGGGAAGCAACGTTTCATATAGAAAAATGAAAATATATATATTAATTTTTGTAGTTTAGACTGTTTAGGATCGTTTTTTACCATGATCTGTGTAAAACATTGCTTCCATATCGTTTTTTACCATGATCTGTATAAACTACAGAAATTAATATATTTTCTTTTTATTTTTATATATGAAACATTGCTTCCCTATAAAACATGCATAGTAATAAAAAATAAAAAAAAATGATGTATTTTTTGTAATATTCGGAATACAAATAAAAAATACTACCTCCGTCCCTTAAAACTTTGTCAAAGTTGACCGGCACGGAGAATAATAAAATAAAAATTGTGTGGTTGAGGTTTGTGCAGAGTAGAGAGTAATAACAGAAACCACAAAACATTGATTAAAAGGGAAAGTGACAAAGTTTTTAGGGACGTCCCAAAAAGGAAAGATGACAAAGTTTTAATGGACAGAGGGAGTATATGCACTTTAAAAACAGATACGCAGTAATTTTTAAAGCGTTAATTTTTTTTTTGATTTTATATATTCAATATTGGTGTCATATGAAAGATAATAAAAAGTTATGAATTTCGGTATATGTTATGTAACAATCATAGTACAAATAAAAGAGTTATAGCACTTCAAAGAAAACAGGATATATTTAATGGTAGTGGGACCCACTACCATATATTGGTTACATGTCTTTGGCCTTACATCTCGGTGTTGCGTTTTTTAGTTAGAAAGCCGCCACTTCAAGTGGCGGCTCTTGTACTGTAAGTGAAAATCCGCCACTTCAAGTGGCGGCTTTCCTTAACCACGGTTAATCCAGCAGTATTTTGGGAATTATTTTTAACCCAGCAGTATTTTGGGAATTATTTATTTATTTAGCATTATTCTGGGAAAAAACTCTAGAAAGAATAATAATATGCTTAGCACAACTCTAATCTAAATTTTATATAAACAATTACAAATATTTGGAGACTAGTAGGGGATTTAATGCTAAACAAAACTAATCTTTCACATCCTCAATATAGATCTGGCTCTGGAAAAAATAGGTGTTTTTAAAAAAAATATGAAAAAGCAAGAGTGATATCGTGTTAGTCATGTCAGTTTTGTTGTTAAATTGAAATTTCTAGAGACACAAAGAAGGACTAGAAACAACAACATCTAAATGGTAATCCCAAAAGATTTTGGGGTCGGGTAACATGAGTCAATCCATGACATCAGAGCCATAAAGATAACAAAAATAAAAAGATAAGGTAATATAAAATGGATAAGATAAAAACAAATATAAGATAAAAAATAACATAAGAAGGATAAAAGATAAAAAGATAAAATAACATAAGAAAGATAAAAGATAGAAATAACATAAGAACATAGAAAATAAAGAAAATAAAAGAAAAAAGAAAAAGAGAGAGAAAAGAGAGAAAATAGATCAATTGTTCACACGAAAAACAAAAACAAAAAAAATAGTTTTACCGAGTTCTAAAACAAAAAAACCTTACATTTGCAGGAACTAATACATATTTAAGCCTATAACACTCTAAAAGTTAAACAGACAATTTGCATTTTGCCTAAATACTGAATGCTGAGCAACAGAACTTTTTCCCCCACTTCACAGTTTTATAGTGTCTTTTCAGCTATAAGTTTTAATTCTCTTTTTTCAGCCAAGATGCTACATGCAATTACTTACCCTTACCTGTTATATTTGACATCATCATAGATGATTACAACCAAATAACAAATTTAAAATCATCTAGATGATACCCACTCTTTCAAGTACTTCGGCGCCTTTGGCCATTCAAAGTACCTAAAATGAGCGACAGTTAGGACGCCACAGGCCCACAGCCCATATAAATCATGCAAGTAAAACTGGAAAAGCTTAGCTTAAACCCATTGAAAGAAGTTCACATCTAACCATGTCGAGTACTGTTCACTTGTTTGGCGACAGTTAGGACGCCACAGGCCCACAGCCCATATAAATCATGCAAGTAAAACTGGAAAAGCTTAGCTTAAACCCGTTGAAAGAAGTTCACATCTAACCATGTCGAGTACTGTTCACTTGTTTGGGGAAACCTAGTAACATTCGCTCAAAGGGATATAGGAGGGAAGTCGGTTGAACCAACTATTACGCGAACTTTGTTACATGATATTCTTATACAGATGCATAGCTACATCAAACAGAATATGTATTGTGAAGTTAGTTGTCACTTAGTTGGTGCTAGAAGGTAAGAGTGGTATATGTGCTTTTATCACAACTCATTTCTCAATTCAGCACTACAGGTGCTGTGTTTAAAATAGCACAAATCTGCTGCTTTCTTAAGCAAAGCATTAAAATGTTTTTTTGCTACTAAAAGCATTTATACATTTTCCTGTCATATGCTTCTTTTTGAAGTAAATGTACTTTCCTTGGATGAAAGTAAATGTACATCATCATCATCATCATTACCCCAGTGCCGCAAAAGGCTCCCACCTACGGTAGGGACTGGGGTAAGGGGGGGTCGGATGTACGCAATCTTTACCTCTGTACTAAAGCACAGAGAGACAGTTTTCGGATGACCCATAGTGAAAATAGCGTCCAAAATTGCATGGATTGGCTGCTACTTCATAGAAAAGAAGCGCAGACAGTTTCGTGAGCCATTTTGCTTTATTTCATCATATTCTCAAGCCAAAAAATAGTGAGTCTTTGGCTCCATTGAAAATGATGGAAAACTAGGTGATAAAAAAGTAATGAATAAAAAAAGTAACGAGTAATAGTAGAAGAGAATGAAGTTCTAGATGATGATTGCTAGGTGATAAAAATTTGTGATAGAGCTAGAGAATTTAGATAAAGAAGAATAAGTGTAAATCTGTGATGTACTGATATTTATGTATTTTTACATTTATTTTTCGAGAGTGAACCACCAAAAACTTAGAAATAGATAATTTGAACTTTCATTTTATTATTACAGTTTTGGAGTAATAATTTTTTTTCACTTGTTTAATTGATTACATTGTATTTTGTGATGCATAAAGAATTTTTGCATTTTTCTTATAAGCCCATCTAGGCCCATCCCTATTGGTGACATGTGGGCCAGCTGGCCCATCCCCTTAAGCCAAACTATAAAGATGGGCTACATTTTACGCCCTCCGTATTTTTTTTGTTTGCTACACTTCCTCTTTTTGGATGTATTAAAAAATTTGCTACATTTTCCCTTTTTGGTAAGTTTTTTTTAAAATACTCAACTACCCTTACTTTTTCTACTTTTTATCTTCTCTTTCATACTTTTCCATCATCTCTCCTACTTTTTCTACACTATTCATTACCCCTACTATTTCACTCTTAAAAAATTTGCCAACACATATTGTAGTAAACAAAAAATACGGAGGGAGTAATTACAAAAGATCAGCCTAACCCAAACCCATTAGTTTTGGGCTAGTGTGGACCAGACCGTTGATGATCACTAGAGCATATCAACAAAGAAGACACACGCTAAGCACTTCAAAAATCATGCAATGGACTCAAAAACAAGAAAAAGAAATGATTATAATTGTTGTACTTTGGTGCACCAGTTAATGGGAGGGGAGGGGAGGGAAGGCTTCCCCTTATACACCCTGTGGTGGGACCCTTCCCTGGACTCCCGCCTTGTGGGATGCCTTCGTGCACCGTGCTGTCCTTTTTTAATATAGGCATTTCTTTTCATCTTTTTTTTGTTCAAACACTTTATAGACATCTGCTTTGAATCAGATTTTCACGCACATCTGGAAACTTATAGTATGAGCAGCATTTTGTGTCATACTTTAAGCAGCATTACTTAAGCCCTCATACAAGTAAATGTCCCCATACCTTTCAAACATTCCTGTTGAAAAACGGCATCTAACCCAGATTCCATGTCAATTGAGAATATCTTTTCAGTGCATGCCTCAACAACTGAAACAAACTCAAGGATGGAAGCAACTTTTTTCTGCATGTCTGGAGATGATGTCTTCATGATCTCAATGAGGCGAGCAATAACAGAAGAATCCAGAAGTTCAACCACATTGGGTGTTTTCAAGCTACAAGAAAGTGCAACTTGAGTTTGAACCCAGTCAAGAAACAAGTAGATTAGTGAGTAGCAACTCTAATCAGATTAGTAGTTAATGATTAACTTCATCATCATCATCATTACCCCAGTGCCGCAAAGTCTCCCACCTACAGTGGGATAAAGGGGGGTCGGATGTACGCAGTCTTACCCCTATACTAAACTAAAGGGAGACTGTTTCTAAATGACCCTTAGTGAAAATCGCGTCAAAATTTGCATGGACTAACTGCTACTTCATAACAAAAAAATGTGAATCTTTGGCTCCGTTGCAAATGATGGAAAATAGTTAATGATTAACTTGAGTTAACAAAATATGTTCACTACAACAAATATTCAAAATCAGGTAGGGGCCTAGGGGGTGGGGGTGCTATTGCAAATCTTACCTACTTCCAAAAACACATTAAGAGGCCGTTTGGCAGCACTGTTTTTCGGCTTATCAGACTTATCAGCCAACTTTTTTACCAAACATGTAATTTTTACTTTCGCGCGCTAAATTGTGTTATAAGCAGAAAAAGTAGGGTTGGAGTTACTTTTCTGACTGTATTGGCTGATGTTACTGTAGATGATCATTTTAGCTATTTTTACATATAATTTTTTTTTTATTTTATTAATAAGATATATTTTAAAAATAATTTTTTCTTAAATCAGCAGAATCAGCCAATGCAGCCACTTCAGCCAAAACTTCATAAATTTCAGCAGAAACAATCAAAACAGCCGATTTTCATGCTACCAAACAGGCTCTAAGATTATCATTTTGATGATGTTTGGATCTAAAAAACTACTGAAACCTATCTTTATTATTCTAAATAATTGCATCAAATATGATTGTTTTGCTAAATGTTTATGATGGGAAAAAAACACCCAGAAGCTCAACAATTCCATATAATCCAGTATTTGCATAACACTTCAAAATACATTACTGCTGGTCAAGGAATGAAATTAAGCCTTACATGATTTACCTACATAAGATGAATATGTCTCTTAAAACTGAAAGAATGTATATAAGGAGCCATGAATTTTATTTTTTATCAAAAAACTTGCAGATATCAGAGACATTAACATGTGTATAATATATAACACACATGGCAATGAAGCAATTCTGCCATTCTGGATTATCATTTTGATGATGTTTGGATAAAAAAAACTACTGAAACCTAACTTTATGATTCCAAATAATTGCATCAAATATGATTGTTTTGCTAAATGTTTATGATGGAAAAAAACACTGAGAAGCTCAACAATTCCATACAATCCCGTATTTACATAACACTTCAAAATACATTACTGCTGGTCAAGGCATGAAATTAAGCCTTACATGATTTACCTACATAAGCTAAATATGTCTCTTAAAACTGAAAGAATGTATATAAGGAGCCATGAATTTTATTTTTATCAAAAAATTGCAGATATTTCCATCATTTGCAATGGAGCCAAAGATTCATTATTTTTTGGCTTGAGAATATGATGGAATAAAGCAAAATGGCTCACTAAACTGTTTGCGCTTCTTTGTTATGAAGCAGCACTCAGTCCATGCAATTTTGGATGCGATTTTCACTATGGGTCATCAGGAAACAGTCTCTTTGTGCTTTAGTATAGGGGTAAGACTGCATACATCCGACCCCACCGTAGGTGGGAGCCTTTGCGGCACTGGGGTAAATGAAAATGAAAATAAAAATAATCAAAAAATTGCAGATATCAGACATTAACATGTGTATAATAATATATAACACACATGGCAATGAAGCAATTCTGAAGATCAAAGACTATACACACATAAATGTGAAAGAACCTTTTGGTTGATACAGCTTTCTCATTCTCTTCTCCGCCAGATTCCATGTTCCTTATTTCCACCAATCCCTTTGTTGAAAGGTTGATAGGCCCCTCAAAAAACTAAACTTGGATAAAGAGAGTCATTCAGAAAGACTCTTGGAAACATTTGGATCTTGACTTGTGTGTCTAATTGATAAAGCTTAAGATTATACACTATGATTCTGATTTAGGGACATAATAATCCATTATTTAAAGCAGATTGCTTATAGTTTATTAGCTTACAAAAGCCAAAAGCCTAAAAGGTGTTCAATTCATACTTCAAAATCTTTGCCAAACATGCAAAAGTGGATTATTTAACATGCAATCCCTATATTCTAATAATTCAATAAAGAAACTTCAATGAGAGGTAGGTTCAGACCTTGGATTTCATTTCTTTGCTCGGATCTAGAACTCGACTAAGAATATCAACAACCTGCAGGAGGGACATATCATTTCTTAAATCAGCTGTTTAGCAATTAGCAATGCGAAATTTGTTTTAAATTGAATCAAATTTAGGAAGAAAAGTATGGAGCACATTACCATTTTTATAATGTTATTAGACACGTCTAAGTTATTCAGTAAATTTATCAAAGGGTGCAAAATGTTTTCTTCTCCTAGTCTTTGGCAAACTGCATTGCTGTACCAAAAGACATGAAAAGATTTATTACAAATTTTTTACATGTTCAGCAGTAAAAATCATCTTCCACAACATCTAATTACCAACAAAGCTCAAAGACAAGTTAACAATATCACACTTTAGGGGAGGGGCATAGTCCCAATGCAAATTCTGACACGTGATTTTGGATGAGAGACACATAGTGTGATGTGTTAGCATACAAGTCAACACCAATTGTATTAACATAGCTATCAAGCTCCATAGATGGATTGTTTTGTATGTACAACAGTAAAAGATCTATGGGGGTGTTTGGAAAATGGCGTTTCAGCCAAAAAATAGTTGTTTGGTATATATAGCTGTCCAGCCCTAGCACTTTTAGACAGAACTACTGAAATGGAAACGTGACTAATAGCAGCGTTTTGAGTTAGCATTTCGAAATAGGACATTTCCTACTAATTGCTATGGCCAAACAGCTAAATTACCAAACATCTTTTTACCACCCGCCAACTTATTCCGTTAGTCAAACCAGATGATTGAATCCGCTATTAACAACCTGCTAACATAATCCGCCAATCGTTAACCGCTAAAACCAAACACGCCCTATAGAAATTTAACTATAGATATGACTAATTGACCGCAGTCCAGTTGGTGCTCAAGGTACCCATTCTCTTTTCCCCCACCACTGAGGCATTGGTTGATCCCTCACCACCACAACAAAAATAAACCATTTGAGCAATACAAAAGAAATGGCGGAAAAAGTAGAGGAAATAGTACAAAAAGGCAAACAGAAAGAAGAACAAGTTCTACAGAACAGGATACAACAAAATACTTTGAGTTGATACTTTATAGAAACTGTTTTCATCATAAACTTCACATATTTGTTAAAAACTAGCATAAACTAAAATATGATGGCCTATGAAAACTATAAAGCAGGTGTCCGGGACCTTTGGCTCAAATAACCCCACGTGGACCCTACGTCACGAATATTACAAGAAATATATAAAACCTGGAAGAACTAAGAAATGGGATTGTTGGAAAAAACTGAGATGTCTTTCTCAGTGTATATTCACATTTATATAGGCAAGAAATAAATACATGTACAAGGAAACAAATCAAGAGATCCTTACAGTTAATGCAAGAAATCCTTGCATTTAATGCTTAATAAAAACTTCCTAGTTCCTATAATTACAAATTTCAATCGAAGTAACAACGATACCTTTACTGATTCTCTAACTGACACCCCCCTCAAATTGATGGGGGTTGGTCAACGAGCATCAGTTTGCCCCCAAGGAACGGATGACGAGGAAGAGTCTTTGTAAAGATATCAACCACTTGAAGATTAGTGAATACATGGGCCAGAGAAATCACTTCATATTCAAGTGTTTCACGAATAAAGTGTCAGTCAACCTCAATCAATTTTGTGTGCTTGTGATGAACTGGATTAGCAATAATGTAAATAGCGCTAGTGTTATCGACATGCAATAGAGTAGGCTCAGTAGTAAACCCGGTAATCATGTGATCTTTGAGCAGGCAAGTGTCATAGCATGATATTCTGACAGAGTAGAAGACTTAGAAACACGATCCTGATTCTGGTTTTTCCAAGAAATTAGAGCAATCTCCACAAATATACACCATCCTTTGATGGAGCAACGAGTGTCTACATGACCAGCCCCAATCAGCATCACTATAGGCGGATAGTTCAAGAGTAGTACTAGTTGGAAAATAAAATCCCTGGCAATAGTGCCATATATATAGGTAAAATCGCATAAATGGTCCCTCAGTTATCTACGAAATTAAAATCTCAGACCTGAGATTGTAAATGTCACCCCTCAATTGTCCAAAATGTTGTAAATGTGGTCCTTTTTAGGGGTGAAATATAAAATGTGGGCAAGAGTACATTTCACTACTTAAAGGACCACATTTACAACAATTTGGACAATTGAGGGGTGACATTTACAATCTCAGAAATACAGGTCTGAGATTTTAATTTCGTAGATAACTGAGGGACCATATATGCAATTTTCCCATTGTATATATATATATCAAATAATACGTCTGACTGCAACCATATGGAGATGACGAGGATTATGATGAAATTGAGTAACTTGCTGAGAGATCTAGACAACTTATCGTAAGACACACTAAATTGCCCACAAGCCAACAAATCTACGATATATTGTCGGGTACAGAAGAAGATGTCCCTCATCTTTTCGAAGTTTAACATTTAAATCCATTGGAATATCAATGGGAGAAGTACCACTAAAACCTACAAAATCAATGAGATCACGGGCACACTTGGCTTGATTTGAAAAAAAAAACAATTGAACCCACTATAACCTCAAGTTTCAAAAAATATGAATGTCCGTTGAGATCCTTCATATGAAAGGAACGATGCAGATATTTCAACTGGGAAATAACCGAGTGATCAGTTATAGTGCCTGATATACAATCTTTGAAAATATGTCCGAACTTCGTTCAGTACCTACAAACTCATATCTCTAGAGGAGACTTAACTTGAGTGGCATAAGCAACTGAAGTGTGACCCTACTCCAAGGTAGCCTGGGTAAGCCCATGCTGCTCTTCACGAAGGAGTTACCGAAAAATCTCCAAAGAGGGAACTGAATTTATGTTCAATAATGTGGAGCGAATGTTCTCAGACACAGTTTCATCAAGAATTGACCGCGTTTTCGGGCTTGTAACATGTCTCGGAGAGGCTTTATGGCAATATGAGGGATTTCAGCGAGGCATAAGTCGATGTATTCATACCAAAGTGATAAGGAGTTGGAATAGTATTGCTAAACGGTCATGGAAACTTGTTGGAAGTTGGAAATATCCAACTTGTAAGTGCTAAACAGTGAGAAAGTGATCAAACAGAACACATATGCATATATATGTAAACTTTATACAATCAATTGTATTATAATTGATGAGAAATTTGTAACGACATGCATGATGATAATATGTTTACTTATATTATTACTTTTCTTATTCAAATTAAAGAATTATTAAAAATTGGCAGAATTACTTTATCAAACACAATATTATCTAGCTTACCTCTTTTAATGCTATATAGTATATACTACTATATATTTATATTTAATATTTATCTATAAAATGGATTAAAGAATATGCAAATAAGATAAATAAAATCTATATGGGGGCACCCGTGGGCACCCGTGGGGGACGATGGGGTGGGGTGGGGATGGGGCGGGTTTGAGAGTAGCGGGGATGGGGTGGGGATAGGGGGAACTTTTTAGACATGGAGCGGGGGATGGGGGAGCGAACCCCCGCCTCCCAAACCCGCCCCGTTGCCATCCCTATGTGGGATTGACTATCAAGAGAACTTTGCTCTTGTAGCCAAGCTCAATACTATTCATACCCTACTATCTTTGACATTTAACTTTGATTGACCTTTACTGCAATTCGATGTCAAGAATGCTTTCCTCCACGATGATTTACATGACGAGATCTACATGCACATTCCCCGGGCTTAAAAAAAACATCAAAAGGTTACCTCTACACATGTATGTCGATTAAAAAAAAACCTCTATGGTCTCAAGCAATCCCCTCGTTCTTGGCTTGATTGCTTCACCCAAGTTGTTCGAGCCGCTGGTCATAGTCAAAGTCAAGGTGATCATACTCTTTTTTACAAACACTTTCGCTCAAGTGGAGTCACTATTCTTTTAGCATATGTGGATGACATCATTGTGACCAGTAATGATCCATTTGAGAAACAATGTCTTGAGATGCAACTAAAATCCCAATTCGAGATGAGGTATCTTGGATCTTTAAAATACTTTCTTGGAATTAAGGTTACTCATCTGAAGGCATCTTTATCAACCAACAAAAGTACATTACATATTTGTTAAGTGAGACTGGTAAGAGTGCTTGTCCACTAGTTACTACACCTATGGATCCTAATCATAAGCTTGGACTTGCTACTGATGAACCCAGGGTTGATTTAACAATATATCAGCATTTGTGCGGCAAACTTATCTATCTCTCTCACACCAGACCTGACACTGTCACACTGCCTATGCGGCCAGTGTCCTAATCCAGTTTGCATGACCCAAAGAAACTGCATCTAGAAGCAGCCTATAGGGTTCTACACTACTTAAACGGAAGCCTTCACTGATGCGTTATGGTGGCTCTCTCATTGGCTGCCAATCAACTACCGGTTTCTGTATTTTCCTAGCAGGAAAACTTGTGATATGGAGAAGCAAAAAATAGAATGTTGTGACACGGTCATCCGCTGAGTCTGAGCTAAGGGCCCTTGCCCATGGCCTGTGTGAACTTCTATGGATCAGAACTATTCTCTTTGATTTACGAATCAGATGGAAGGGACCAATGGAGTTGAGGTGTGGTAAAAATGAGCAATCATCATAGCTCATAATCCAGTCCAACATGATCGGACCAATCATATTGAGATTGACCAGCACTTCATCAAATAAAAGGTTGAAGGAGGTCTGATTGAACTAAGCTTCACTCCCTTACAGGATCAAGTTGCAGATGTGTTTACCAAACCTCTACACAGTCCTAGGTTTCAGAGTCTTAATGTCAAGCTAGGCATGAAGGATATCTACAAGACTAGCTTGAGGGGGAGTGTTTATAAAACGAAGAGGCATCATTAGTCTAGGAATTACTTTCCTTAGTATTACTATAATTATTAGTCATTAGTGCTTCAAGTTGTAATTAATACTTGTTGTCTTTTCAGTTCGTATTCATTTATGTTTAGTACTCAGGCAGTCACCTAGGGTACTGAATAGACACTTCCATACTTCAGCCAATATATATAGGTCTATACTTCTTGTAAAAGATACTCCGTATATCAATTCCATCATATTCTCAAGTCAAAAAATAGTGAGTCTTTGGCTCCATTGAAAATGGGACACCGCGAATAATTTTTATCAAACAAAAATTGCGTAGAGCTTTAAACTATATCATTTATATTCAATATTTTCATTTAAAATAGAATAAAACTGAAATATACCACTTATATGATATATTGTACTCTGCTCAATCTATGAGTCTTTTTCCAAATGGACAGTTTTTGTTTGACAAAGGCAGTAGCAATTTATCAAATAACATTTTCAATTTAGCATTTTTTAGTGTTCTGTCAAGTTGATGTCTGACAGAGAGAGATAAAATTGACACTTTTTCATAGTTCAACATAAAGGTTATGGCAGGCATCTTAGTTCACACAATATCACAATAGACACCAGAAGTCCAGAACCATGGAAATAGTACTACATTGTTGAAGCATTGACTAATCAAGAAAAATATGTTGAGCTATTGAGAGTAGAGACCTCAAAAATGATTTATACACGGAAGATTATAAAACAATAACACGAAGCATAATATCTCAAGTGATGTGGGCCTAGACAATCTCATACATGAAAAACAGTCATATATGTACAATTAGTTAGTTAAGGAACACCTGACAGATAATCTTTCCAGAGCCCGAACAGAAGCACATCTTATAGTGTCACTAGGATGATTGATCAGCTTAGTTAGTTGATTAATAGCACCAGCTGCTCTAAAGGATACACGCAAATGTTCGGTGATGGATGCATCAGCAATGGCCTCTGCAGCTCTTGCAACAGCTGATTCATCTTCAAGACCAAGAATCAGAACCAGTCGTGCTACACCATCAACCCAAGGCAAAAGAGTAGACCGACACGATAGCACTTCATCATTGGACTTGTTATCTTCAACCTCTATGGCCCCTATACGAGCAAGAAATTGTTGTCTAGCCTGTCCAACCATTGCATTTGTCATTGCTTCGTCAATGTTTGCATTGTCATCTAGGACATGCAGTCCAAGAAGCAGTTCTGAAGCACCATATTTTGAAGTGCTTTTTGGTCTCTTCTCAATTTGGGTACCATCAGGAAAAGACGGCCATGAATACAAAGTGGGTTTAAAAGACTTGTAAGCAGCAGCACCAACCAAAGGGACCATAAGTAGACCCTCCTCCATTACAAGAATTTTATTGTACTCATCTTTAGCAAGTTCCAACAATGCAATTCTTGCTTCTTTCCTAACCACCTTAGATCCCTTAACTTCTGTTTTCAAAAGTGTGGCCTGCATGTTGCATATGGTAAATGAAAGTATATAGTATCAGAGAAGAGCTCATGTTTCACAAAATCGAACTAGCTTTGTGAAGTTTCAACCAAACTATTTCCGATGAATAAAATTGACAAACAATACTAGGTAAATAATGCATGTGGTTTAAGGCTCATCAGCCACAGTACTAACCATGCAAAAGAGAAGCCTGTCGATGATAACATAGCGCAATGACGGAAACTTGTTAAAGCGGATAAGCAAACTCAACGACAGGATACTGCATTTCTTTGTAGCTCAAGTGAAGCATCAATTTTTTATAATGATTTCAAATGTAAATACTCATTACAAAACAGTATGATAGTCATCTTCACTTGAAATCAATAAAAACATGTTGTCTCAACGCAGGTGTTTGCATCTGAAGTAACCATTACTATGAAAGTAGACATAACTTGAATTTTATAGGCAAAATGTTGAATCAATTATTCAAAAAATAGTACTCCGTAACAAATTATCACTAACATTATACTCCCTACGAATTCTTGTGTTTGCTACACTTTCCTTATTGGGAAGTTTTTGTTTGCTAAATTAAACCTTTTTTGGCAAGTTTTCCCTTTAAAAATACTCAATTACTCTTACGTTTTCTACTTCTCATATTCTTTTGCAAACGCTTCTACTCTCTCCTACTTTTTCTACACTATTCATTACTTCTACTATTTTTCCCTTGAATATTCTGTCAAACCCTATTGTAGCAAGCAATAGATTACAGAGGGAGTATACAATTACTTGTGGAGAGTTAAACATCATATGTGCAAGTGATTGCTTCCCGAACAGTACCATAGAGCAATCTATCGGGTTGTTTTGTTGCTGTATCAGCCTGTAAGCAACGAGACTTTTAAAAACTTTACATACTTGATGCAATCTAAAGCATCACACAGAAACAGCGCAATTAGTCAGCAGTGTGCTCCGTTGGAAATCGCAATCACTCAAGTGCAGAATAGGGATGCATATGCTAGTGTGATATTGAGTAGAGAACAAGCCTAGTAACACATGTACATGGCCCCAACTCATGAAAGAGAAAATTTTTGTCTTTACCAAAATAGTTTTCCTCCTTTATTTACGTGGTATCCGAGGGGGAGGGAGAGGAGGGGGGAGGAGGAGGGGGGGGGAGTTGCTGGCCATTGTGGTGGCAGTAAAAACATGGAGGCCATATATAATGGGCAGGAATTTGGAAATCCACACTGATCAAAGGAGTCTGAAATTCTTGACATAACAAAGGCTTATGGGGGAGGAACAACAGAAATGGGTGACTAAATTGATGGGCTATAATTTCATTATCAAATACAAACCCGGGTTGGAAAACAAGGCTGCTGATGCCTTATCTGGAAAGGGAAGTTACCAAGCATTATATGTGGTCAGTTGCCAGGAGTGGGAAGACCTAGAAGAGAAGTTAGTCAAGTTACTACAAGATGAAAGGTGTAATCGGCTCATCCAAGATATGATAGCCCAGCCAGAATCGCACACAGGGTTTAAATTAAGAAAGGGGTTGATTTACTACAAAGATAGACTTATGTTGCCTAAAGGATCTCCCGGGATCAATAAGGTGTTGGCAAAATTTCATGATTCGGCTAGTTGTGGTCATGCGGGGTCTGTCAGGACTTTAAAGAGGATAGCTAGTGTGATATATTGGGATGGAATGAGGTCTAAAATCCAGAAATATGTGAGCAGCTGTGAAGTATGTCAACGAAATAAATAACAGACTTTAAGCCTGCAGGGTTATTGCATCCTTTGCCTATTCCCACTCACATCTGGGTTGATTTAGCCTAGATTTCATAGGGCGACTGCCAAGAACTATGGGCAAAGACACTATCCTGGTGATGGTTGATAGGTTAACAAAATTGGCTCATTTTATAGCTCTAACACATCCATATATGGCTAAAGGAGTGGCTGAAACATTCATTCAGGAAGTGGTGAAGCTGCATGGGTTTCCTAAAAGGCTAAAACCATAGTTTCTGACAGGGACAGTGTGTTTTTAAGTTCATTTTGGTCAAAGCTTTTCCGGCTAGCGGGTGCCAAGCTCAAATACAGTACTGCCTACCATCCCCGGATGGATGGGCAAACAAAAGTGGTGAATAGATGTTTGGAAACATACTTGAGGTGCCTTACTGGGAAGAAACCAAAGCACTGGCCTAAATGGTTGCCTTGGGCTGAGTATTGGTACAATACCAAGTACCATGCCTCATTGAAGGCTTCCCCATTTAAGGCTTTGTATGGGCAGGACCCGCCAGTTTTATTCAAAGGGGATGCTACCCTAACAGCTGTGGAGGAGGTGACAAAACTCACTGCTGAAAGAAATGAGATGCTCCAGGAAACAACAACAACAACATCCAAGCCTTAGTCCCAAACGATATTGGGGTCGGCTAACATGAATCGATACATGATATCACCCAAAAGAAAAGAAAGAAAATAAAGATAAAAAAGATAAGCTATTATAAAAAAGATAATATAAAAGAGATGAATATACATACTCCCTCCGTCCCTAAATGTTGTTCCAATTGCGGATTACGAAGGTTGACCGAAGATAAAGTTAAGTGATCCTTGTGAAAACTCGGATTATTTTTAGTAAATAAAATTTACATATTCAAAAACTACATTAAACCCGCTACAAAGCCTGCAAAAAATAATTCAACTTTTATAAAATTTTGATATAAAAAGTAAGAGTTTAAGAGTGATTTAAGTTGACCCTCGATAAGCGAAATGGAACTTCTTTTAGGGACGGAGGGAGTATAAAAGATAAAATAAAAAGGATAAAGTAATATTTATATATAAGGATAAAAATATAAAAGAAAAAGAAAAAGAAGAAGAAGAAGAAAAGAGGGGAAAAGATGATACAATATCACTCCTCCACACGAATACCCGCCCTCCATTTCGCTCTCTCCAAAGCCATACTCTCATCCAATCCAAGAAGAAGCATATCACTTCTGAGTTCTGACTCCCCTAGCCCACGTCTGTTTGGGCCTTCCTCTCCCTCTCTTCCCTGCCTCTTCTCCACACATCTCCACTCGTCTGACAGGTGCATCAATCGGTCTCATATGCACATGACCAAACCATCGTAGGCGCGACTCCCGCATCTTATCTTCAATAGGTGCTACTCCCACCCTTTGTCTGATTGTCTCATTCCTCACACGATCCTTTCTAGTATGCCCACACATCCAACGCAGCATGCGCATCTCTGCCACACTCATCTTTTGAATGTGACATTGTTTCACCGCCCAACACTCCGTGCCATACAATAGTGCAGGCCTAATTGGTGTTCTATAAAATTTACCCTTCAGTCTAGTCGGCATACCTCGATCACATAGAAATCCTGACGCACTCTTCCACTTCATCCACCCTGTTCTGATTCTATGGGATACATCTCCATCTAACTCACCGTCCTTCTGAATTATGGAGCCCAAGTAACGGAACATATCGCTGACTGGTATCTCCTTACCATCTAAGGTAATTCCGCTATTACCACTGCTTCTACCTCCACCAAACTTGCACTCCATGTACTCTGTCTTGCTCCTACTTAGTCTGAAACCCTTGTTCTCCAATGTTTGTCGCCATACTTCCAACTTTGCTTTAACCCCTGATTGCGTCTCATCAATCAATACAATATCGTCGGCAAACATCATGCACCACGGTATATCATCTTGAATTGACTTTGTAAGTTCATCCATGACTATGGCAAATAATTTGGCTGAGGCACAAAACAGAATGAAGCAGCACGCAGACAGACACCGGAGAGAGGTGGAACTTGAAGTGGGAGACATGGTTTTCCTAAAAATACAACCTTATCAGAAGCTCAGCCCTAGGTTTTATGGGCCTTTTGAAGTGATAGATAAGATAAATTCAGTGGCGTATAAGCTCAAACTGCCCAAAGGGTGTGCTGTGCACCCAGTTTTCCATGTTTCTTTGCTAAAGAAAACTGTAGCCCCTAATATTCCTAGGCATCCTCTACCCAGTTGTTTGTCTGAGGAATGGGAGTTGCAAACCCAAACTGAAAAGGTGTTGAACACCAGAATGACTCCTACCGGAAGGAAGGAAATCTTAGTGCACTGGAAAAACTTACCTGACATTGAAGACTCTTGAGAGGAATTGCTGCAGTTCCAGTCCATGTTTCCAGATTTTCACCTTGAGGAAAAGGTGAGTTTTGAAGGGAGAGGTGATGATATGATCCCAGCTAAATTCAGAATTAATCCCAACCGGGATTTTTCTAAAGTCTACCCGTAGGGACAAAAAGGAGATATTGACCGACAGTAAAGGAGAGTGGGGGTCTAACTGGCTATTGGAGGTATCCGTGTGGCTGAAGCAAAGGAATAAAGTGTAACAGAATGGAGAGAGAAAGACAGTCTGGAATTTGGCAGAACTCTGGTTTAGGAGAGAGAGACCCTCTCGAACCGGTCTCAATATTTTCTTCCTGTGTTTATTTCCTTCTGTTCTTATTACGTATACCATCGCTATTGTAATCCAATCTTTCCAAATCGATATATATATATATAATATTTGTGCGGGGTGTTGTTCGTACTTATTGTCAACCCTAGAACTTTACGTAGCCCTTTTGGATATGTTGATTACCTGGTCCAGAATTTTCTGGAAGCCAGAAAAGCTCCACACAGCACCAGCTGGTAGGCAGACTCCAATCACATGCCTCATGTAGAAATGGAAGGAATCGGGAGAATGAGATCATTTCACACCATTGTTTCAAGGAATTGAGACCATATACAAACAAGAAAAAATTCTATTATGGAAAATAATCTTCCTAATAACATCATACCGAGCACATGTCATATAGATTGAACACACACACACACACATATATATTATTAAAATTAACTTTTACTCATATTAAATTTTGAAGAGGAGGGTATATGGCCTGGCCTCGGTACACGGGGGAGGTTACTTCTAAAAATTGATGTAAGAAAAATTAATAGTGTTGAATTTGAGAATGTTTACAAAACGAGGGGGGTTAATGTTGTGACCTTACCTAATGTATTTGGCCGCGTGATGGGCTGAATATCTCTTGTGATCAAAATCATTTACTTATCTAGATCAACCCATCAAAGTGTGTGAGCAAGATCTAATCACACGATTTTACTCTTCTTTTACCATGTGTGCATCTCTTTTTGCGTAGTGAGATCTAAAAAAACATGTTCACTGGATTCCTCTGGAATTGAGGATACATTTTATGGCATTTAACATTTTCAATGTAAAACTAACTGAGATAGATTTTTTTACAGACCATGAAAATTTAAGTGAGACTCACCAGCTTTGGGATGACTCCAGCTTCGACCATAATTTTGTGATTAGAACTGGTTAGCGTCAAATTTGCCAAAACCCCTCCAGCCGCCTCTTTCACCCTCACATCGTCATCCTCCAGTAACGTTATTAATATATGAAGCAGATCAGAATTAGCAATTTTTATCCTGTATTTCTCATCCACAGTGAAATTCCACAACGCACAAATGCTTTGCTCCTTCACCTGTACATAGTAATGCAATGTTACACCAAGACATGTGTTTATGTCACAAAAGAAGTACAGAGAGCAAAAACACAAGGAAGACTTATATGTACATCTGGATATACTGAAGATCGCCCCAATAGGCCAGTTATCTCCTCTATTGCGCCACTTTCTGCCACAAAATCCCTGTATACATTAATTGAGGACACCATCCTCAATAAGCCAGCCGCTGCTTCACATGCACAATCAGATTCCGACCTGAGAAGATTCACTGTGAGATTCAAAGAACCTGGAAACTGCATTATGGCATCCACACACTTCTTTCCTCCAAGCGAATACTTCCATAAGGCAACTATAGCACTCTCTCTATCAAGAGGATCATTGTCTAAACCCAACATCCGGATGAACAATGAAACATAACCATCTCCGATGTTGGGCAGGCTATCTCCTGTGGCCTGGAAATGAATGAGGAATGCACTACATCACCTACTTATCCTTTTTACGATAAGACAAACAGAAATCCATAGGCTTGCGTTCTTTAAATAAGGGAATAAAAGTGCATGGACCTTGTAGAATGGAACTAATCCATTTTGAGGACCATTGCTTTGCCTAAGTGCAAAGACCCGTAATCAAAATTATAATTGCGGCAAAATAAGACACACTTGGGCACAACATAAAATAAAAATTCAAATTCCCAACACTACAGAAAGTAGTAATTCGAGACCATACATATTAGTTCGTAGTAAGAGGGACTTACGGGAGATGATGACTCCCGAGTAGTGGTTGTAGGGGTATCACTCTCTCCATCACTGCTGGCCCTTGAGAGCAATGAAAGCCGAGAGCTAAACCTCCGGTGTACAGAGAAGTGAACTTTGAGACGGGTATGAAGAGTGCGATTTCTCGATTTAACTCTAACAACGTTATTATGGGTTCCCAAGATATTGATTGGATGGATGGGTGGTCTCAATTTCAAATGCGTAGGGAGTGTTGAGGACATATCCGTTTCTGCGAAGCTTCTCTGAGCCACGAAGATATTGAAATGCACAGGGTGTTTGATACTTGGTTTTGCTGGTTGGGTCTGCTGATGGCTGAGCCGTCAGAGGGAGACAACGGAGAAGATTGTGAAGCAAGGAATTGTCCAGCACTTGCAACAACAGCGGGCGCTTGAGGTTCAACCAAAGTAGACGAACAGGAAACAGATGTTTTCCATGGCTGATTCCAAGAATCTGAGGACATAAATTGTTCAAATAAAATAGGCTGTTCCTTTGGTCTTATTTTGTTTATATTATATATAATAATTCTTATTTTATTCTATGTTACAAGAATAAAATTATATGTTAAGGGACCAATCGATTTGACCCGGAAACCGGAGAACCGGGCTCAACCACGGACTGCTAGGGAGTGAACCCGCTAATGTACTGATAACCGCAGGGCTTGAACCCTCATAGCCCGGGACAAATGAATGATTGAAGGACACCACACCCATGGACTACTTCAACTTCTTGTTAATATATGCGCTTTAGCTAATCTTATACTCTTTCGACGTATTATTTGACTTGGAAGGTGTTGTAATTGTTATTATGCAAATAATAATCATCATAATCTATTACGGAGTACTATATGATAGCAAAAGAAGTCTTTCACAAGAAGTTCCGGCCCAAACATAGTGCATTATAGAAGCTTATATATATAGTTATATATGGTGGCCTACCTCATTTATTCCCTCCTATGTGATTATAGCCCAATCGATGGAGACCCATTAAGTCATTTGACTCTTCACTTAGTCAAAGGATGTATTCTGCAAAATAGAACATGTGGTCAAGGAAGACATTAGCCAACATAAAAAGATAACAGATAAAGGAGAGAAATATTTTCTGGGCAGAATTTTGCTGCTCGCCCAGCTTCAGAGAAATCGCGATTGGGAAGGCATCCGTGGTCAGATTATGCTGAAATTTTGACTGGAGGTTCCCAAGACACATACCTAAATTCTGAACGGTGGAGATTGGATTTTGACGGTTAGATCATCTGGAATCATCTCCGAACAGACCTGTAGTTTTTAGAGTGATTTCAATCCTTGTTCATCCTCTTTGTATCTTTGTTGAAGTTTTATACTTCTTGAGCTGTTGTATCATCATATTTGATGTTTGGAGACTCTCTTGTACTTATTCCTTGTTGAATAGTGAAGAGTTTGGGTGGACGGAGGTCCCGTGGTTTTTCCTCTTCGATTTGGAGGGGTTTTCCACGTAAAAAATCGTGGTGTTCTGTGTGCTTGGTTTCATTTCATTTTACAGCTTTCTCCATATATGTTTTTTGATGTCATCCACTACTACCTGCTATTAAACTGGGATCCTGTGATTTTCTTGCAAGCTTGGGAGAATTCTTGTCAAGTATATTTGGACTGTTTTGGGTTTGTGGTTGAATTACTTTGACAAGCAGTGTTTTTCTTCCCTACAATATATAGCATCTCGGCCAATTAAGGATGTTTTCTTTTGAACTGTTTTCAGTCCCAGACCAGATCAGATCAGACCAGACTTAAACAGACCAGACCAGACCAGACTTAAACAGACCAGACCAGACTTGGATAGTTATAAAATACACAGAGACCAGACGTTTACCAGACCAGACCAGACCAGAAAGACTTAACCAGACCAGACCAGACCAGCAAATTTCAGTCCAAAGAAAACATCCTAAAACTCCAATATCCAGAACGGCTTGTTGAGCAGGGGAAAAGGCACATGGATATGGTAAATCTATTAAAACAACACATATATGGGAAACATAAAAAGATAGATATGTAGTAATATTTCCAAAAAATATTTATGTCTTAATCCTTTCATTAGCACACTATATATACAACGTAGTTGTATCATCCGTGAGCGGTGAGTGAGCGAACATAGCTTAGGAATTTTCTTTTTTATATCGCTTCCTACTACCATGATCTTTAAGGTGGTGGTGAGTAAGGTAAATAGGCAATCTACTTTGAACAAAGCTCTTAAAGAAGAAAATCAGAGTGCACCCATTTGACTGATTTGGAGGCCGGATCAGAGCCGTGCGGTGCTTGAGGCAGAGTCCAAAAAATTGTTAAAATTTTAGGGCCCACAATTTTAGATATTTCTTTAGTATATATATATATATATTAAATTTACATATTGGGCTTCCTTTCCCTAACTTTTGTCCGCTGTTGTACTTACAAGGAAACCCAAAAAGTCTACCAATTACTTTTGTTCGGCCAGTTTAGAAGCAGAATAGCCATCAACGTACAAATGGAAAAGGGGTTTAAGGCGATTTGCGATTCTTTTGTTCTGGCCTAGACTAATCGATCAACAACAGGGCCTTAGCTAAGGTTAATTTGCGATTCCCTTGTTCCAATCTACGGACTTAATCGATCAACATCAAGGTTAATCTTTCATCTTCTTTGCTTAGCTTCTAAATTTCTAATATTTTTCTATTTATAGGAATTATAGCCATTAAAGGATTTATAGCCTACCAAATATTTGTGGAGAAGGAATTTATTGAACATCTAGAATGCCAAGTTAATTATGATGTTTTCTTTTGGACTGTTTTCAGTCCCAGATCTGATCAGACCAGACCAGACTTCCGTAGTTATAAAATATACAGAGATCAGACGTTCACGAGACCAGTTTTTTGAATACTTTGACATTAATGTAATTTTTATTTAATTAGTCATTTTTATGTTGTTTAATCTTCAATTTCAAAGAAAATTGTGGTAAAAATAAATAAATAATGTATAGGGCCTTTTAGGAAGTTTGACTCAGGCCCGAGTTTTGGTAGGATTGGCACTAGGCCAGATCAAATAAAGGAGAGGAAGATGGAAGAAGGCGACCACCTTTTTAATAGATTTATTTGTGATTGTATTATCATGAAGGGAAGGAGTGAGCGAGCTAGAGAGGCGGCCGCCGGCCGGCGTGTGTTATAGAATTCGGCTGAAAAGAAGCAAGGGGCAAGGAGGGTGAGAAGACAAAGGTTTCATCAAAGTCCCACAAAGCACTACGTATTAGATACTCCGTACATAGTATTTTGTTTGGGTTATTAATTTCTACGGAGTATATCAAGTTAACTTTGATTATATTTTTAGTTAGAGTTACTCTCCGTGTATATGTGTGTTTGTGTCATCTAAGAAAAATTCGAGTTTACGACATGTGATGAACACGTTATTTAAGCTATAATATTGTAACTCTTTTTCGTAACCACAAAATTGCTGTAATAAAATATGAACAAATGACATTCTATATTGAAATAAAATGTTTCAAGAAAATATAAGTTTAAACTCACTAAATAGTTATTATGATCCACTAAAAAAAGTTATTTTGGTGTAATAAAGGAAAAAATTTATACGGAATATTATTGAATTATTCACAGAATATAATCTTCAAACTATATTTCAAGAGTTGGAGTTAAATGTGAGAGCTTTATGAGTATATTTATAGAAACAATTATTTAATTACTTCAATCTAATTAAATAGAAACATAAAGGAATTTGTATTTATGCTCTCTCGGTTTTGGTTCTTTGTTTTTTAACTCTTTAAAAAAAATTGTTCGTTAAATATACCTGGATAAGAGTTTTTGTCTCAACATTACTGATTAGGAATAAAGATTTGAAAAGATTGCTCAAAATAGGACAAAAATGAATGGGCAAAATTTTTAAATAGGACTAAATCTGCTTTCTTCACTAAATTACAAGAATAACACAATAAAAATCCCAAAGAAAGTAATGGGGCTCCTTTTGTGAAGTTAGGTTTTAATTTGTTTTGCTCCTCATTTAGAGAATTTTCACAAAGACAAACCATATCATATACTCCATATGTTATAATTATCCTTTTTAAAATCCGCAAGAGTTAAACCTTTGCAAGAGTTATAGCATCATATGACACACATCAAATGTTGGTTTCTCCTATAAATGTTGAAACCCTTTGCAATCATATATTTGAGGATAGTGATTTAGGCGTACGGAATTGAGTAATATTTTAGGGGCATGGTGTACCAACATATATGTTCTAAAAAAGTCATCGAATATAAGATTTTATACCCAACGATTTCACCAAGATATACAAAGTGCATGTTTATAAAGTTGTGAAATTTAGTAAAAATATTTAGAGGTTTCAATATATAAACCAAAATCGATACAAATTTGACCTGAAATATGAAAAACAATGAATATACCGAATTTGTTGGTACTAATGATTATAATTATGTAGTCAAAGTTGAAAAACGGAAAGAGAAAATTCTCATTTGAAATATAAAAAACAGTGAATATCATGTGAACAACCGCTTTCAATACGCCTTCGAATTAGAAAATAAAAAATGATATGAGTTGAAAACTTATTACATTGGAAGTTGAAATTTGATTTCCAACGAGGCGCCGACTGAATATGAGAAGACGTCGAGTCAAAACGACAAAAAGTGTGTAAAACACCACGGGAGAACATTTATTAGAAGCTTAATTAAAATTGTGGAGAACAATATGGCAAACTATATAATGAGAAGTCTGGTGAGAAGCTTTAGGGTGGTCGAAAAGAATGGTTATGATATGAGAAATCATAGTTATATTCATATTTTATATACAAGCCGGGCAAGGGAAATGTATTTGAGTACATTGGGTTGTTTTTTAAATTTGTAAAATTTGAAATATGACATTTCTCTATGTCAAAACATACTCCATATACATTATGTTAAACATAGAAATTTGTTTACTTGCAATTGGTTCTGTGTGCGGCTTTGTTATTACAATCTCATCCGTATAATGATTCTATGATATATTGACATATTGCGTAATAAATTGATTTTTTGTCCCAATTTTTAAATATTTCTGTAATACCCAAAAACCGGTCTAGCCGGTAACGTAAATTCGAATAATATTCTTTCTCATTGATTCTAAAATTTGCTAAATTATTATTAAATAAACAATAAATACGAAGTATTAATAATTTAAATGAAGGTAAGATAATTATGATATCTTAAATCCAACCTTATAAAAAATGGTGTAACCGTGACATGCTAGGAGACTCATGATCAAATTTAATTTTGGGATTTAAAAGGCAACATATACGAAACTATTTGTAAGAGTTGTTACATAAGCTAGATTATACTTTAAATATATTAATTTAAAAAAAAAAACTTAGCTTTTCATGACCAACCCACTTGGCTGCAAAAGAAAAGCCTACGCCTGCAATATGTATACAAATAACTTAGCAGCTGGTTGTCCTAACATGGTAAAGTACACTTGGAGGCCGGCCTAAACACTTCTATGACCGATCAGGCATATATTGTTGTGATATGCATGCCAATCTCCACATGGAAGTTTCCCTATACCCCATATATGTCACGCCCCGGACTTATCCGGACACGTCAACAATCCGCCGTACAGTACGAATAGTCAACCGCAGTCCAACACATTCATACTATACAAGGCGTCTGGGATATCATTCACGCATAGTACATCCATAAACAAACATAATGTAAAATATTCATTCAAAGCAGCGGAAACATGATTACAATTATTCAAGCCACACGTGGCAACCACGGGCATACAAGCCCCCAAATAAATATTCGAAGTAATATCCATGAGCATTATTTAAATTGTTTTCAAAACAGAAACAGAAGAGGCACGAACCACGCCTTCCTCCTTGAATTCCTCGAAACAACGAGCGGTAGTAGCAAGCTCTACTCCCTACCTGAAACTGTGAGGTGGCCTCCCCCGTGAAGGGGAGGTCAGTACTTGGAAGCATTTGACAAGTACAATGACAACTATACTAAGTATAATCAAAGTTTCAATTTCCAAGACCCTCAATCCAAGATGTTATTCATTTGTACTTAACTCATGTTCTTTCATGCTAGAGCTCGGCTCATAGTCATGTTAATTTGTGCTAGAGCTCGGCTCATAGTCACCCTACGTTTGCTAGAGCTCGGCTCATAGTCATACTAATTTGTGCTAGAGCTCGGCTCATAGTCACCCTACGTTTGCTAGAGCTCGGCTCATAGTCATACTAATTTGTGCTAGAGCTCGGCTCATAGTCACCCTACGTTTGCTAGAGCTCGGCTCATAGTCATGCTACCACGTGCTAGAGCTCGGCTCATAGTCACGTCCACTAATTCCTAAACCACTTCTTAGTCTAGGTTCCATCCATTTTGAGTAACCCTTAAGGCCTACTCCAAATGTAACTTAAGTTCATAATAACTTGAATATCTCAATTAAATTCCACATTCAAGTATATCTTGGCTCTAATATCAAAATATCACTTTTAACCTTCCATGACTCCCTTACATGAGGTAAAAGTATATTTATCACAATTTAGTTTATAGTTTGCACAACTATTATACCATTGTATTCATAACACATAATCATACACAATTTATTCATAAATTTGTATATTATGCATTTTTGCTTATA